TCGAGCCCTAATGGAGATATTCAAACTTTTTTTCCTTGTCTTGTTACTTATGGGACACCCTGTATATATATAGCTGTTATTATTATTAGTTATTACTCACATTTTATTTTCTATTTTCTCAAAAACAAAACAAACTTTCAATTAAAAAAATAGTGTACAAAGTTTTTTTTTCTTTTTCAAGTTACTTCAGTCCGTTATTCATTGGATTCGATGTTGAATTTTTGTACTCGATGATTTCTGTAATCGACGACATAGAGATTGCCGTGTCGATCGAATGATAAACCGGTGGGCCAATTGAGTTGGTTCGATTGTGCTCCTGCACCGTTTCCACCAACAATAACACTTCCCTGTTTGGCTCCATTGGGCCAACGCATGATTCGATTATTCCCTGCATCAGCCACATAGACAGTGCCCAATAGATCGACAACGACTCCATAAGGATATGACAATTGTGTAAGACCATTTCCTTCTCCTTGATCACCAGCTACGGCAATGCCTTGTTTTGCACCTTCCACCCATTTCATCACACGATGATTTTCCAAATCAGACACATATTCTGAATGATCTCGATCGACGAATACGTATCGTGGGTCATGGAGTTGATCGAGACGATTTCCACTTCCATTGCCACCTGCAACCACTGTTCCTTGAGATTCTCCTCTTCCATATCGTCTCACTTCATCTTTTCCATTGTCAACGACATAGAAAGATCCATTCTCGTCTATTGTCAAACCCCAACAAAAGATGTTGGAGATGATTGCTTCTCCACTTGTCCCATTTCGACGAGGCCATCGAACCACTCTTTCATTCGACCAATCGGAGATGATTAGACAATCTCTCTCTTTGTCGACAATCACATCTCGTGGGTTATTCAATTGATGAGCCCCACTTCCTTGTCCATTTCCACCGGCAGCCACTTGGCCACTCGTCGCACCCCATTTCCATTCCACAATACGGTGATTGTATTGATCAGCGACATATATTGTTTGATCTTCATCAACATACAAACCCCACGGGTTTGAGAGTTGATTGATTCCATTTCCTTGTCCATTTCCTCCAGCAACAGTGATACCATTCTGTTGCCATCGAGCATTTGGATGAATGTCAATTGAACTTCCAAGTAATGGAATTACTGAAATTGAGAGAAACAAGAGAATAATATGATAAAATAAAAGAGAAGACAAAGTGAGAGAGCCAGAGAGGCATATAGAGAGAAAAAAGTGAAAAATTCATTTGAATTTTCGCAAAATCAACATCGTTTCAAGTTTCGATTTGTTTTCTTGACATTGTTTTTCTTTTCTCTATCTCTTCTTTATAACAGAAGTGGATACATAATATATACGCGTTGTGAGTGTTTTATCTTCTTTATACGTTTTGTTTTCTTCTTATACTTTTGGTAATACATACATATATATCTTTTCCGATATATACTTATGTACACAGTTACATCCTTTTATAGTTTCTACAAAAAATAAAACATAGAAAAAGCTTACAGTTTATGAAATATACATATATCGTCAATGTCAAGATGACATCTACTTAATACTAATTAATTAATATATAAATATCTTTCGAATACATAACTTTATAGTCTCAAGAAAAAAAGCTTGTTAACGCAGCCCCTTTAGGGCTGAAAATGTGGAACTCACATATCTTCTTTGCTTTCATTATACTAATGACAAAATATCCAATATTTAAAATTTCTCAAAAAAGAAGATAATAGTTCTTTTCTCACGATAATCGATTATTAGAAAATCCTATATTTTTATCTCTCAATTTCGAATAGAAAATTTTTTTTTTCATAAAGTTGTCAACGTCTGTAATGGGGGGTTGTCTGTAATGTTCTCTTTCTCGTTGCTATGTGTCTGTAATGGGGTGGGAGGGAGGGGAGGGGAGAGGGGGAGCCACCAAACCTCGAACTGAAAACTTACACTCACTATTTTCTTTGAAAACATACGTGAGTTTCACAAAAATAGCTCTTTAGTATATCCTAGTTTTCTCTGTGGGTCTTCATTCTAGACATTTAATTTTTTCTTTTTTTGTTTGAAAGAGCATGTCAGAATAAAGCGAGTTTCGTGACCCTTTTTTTTTAAAGTCTTACTTTTTAGGCGAAAAAAAAACTGGAGCGAAAGTTCAATGACTCAAAAAACATCTCTAAAAATTGCACTGCTCCGATACAGAGGTTATCTTCTATGATAATAAAAAAGCTTATTTTAAAAAAAGAGTCACGAGAGTCGCTAGCCCTGTACATAAGCTTTCAAACAAAAAAGAAAAAGATTTGGCTTTATCTCTTACTGTGATGGAGTTCTGCTGGAGATACATCGTTGAACCGACGTTCTGACAACAAAAGAAAAAATGACTTTTTGGTTTTTTCTAAAAACACGGCCTGTTTTTCGAATAGGGGCGGTGATGAAAACCTACAACATTTTTCGGGGGAAAAAAAGCAGATGCCGAGTAAAAACTTTTATCATATATGAAAGAGCAGATCACGGGCTATCTTCCTATGCATTTTTCTCAATTTCGATGATTTTGACGAAAAGTGACTTTTTTAACGAGGGGGAGTGGCCTTAAGTTGTCAGTAATTCAAAAATGGAGTCAATTTTTTTCTTGGATGTTTTTACATGGTTCGATAGAGCTCGTCGAATTCTACAAAACTGTATA